AATTCCCTCCAATCATGACTCGACACTGATACGATGCCTTAGTGTTTTACTATTTGAGTTTATGTATTGAGCTATAATATATATAAAATATCCCGCCGTCAATATTGATACACCATTATAAGAACATATTTAATATAACAGTTAGACGACGTAAATTGTGTTAGTGTATCTCAAGAAAATAAAAATGATCAACTTCAGGATAATTTAAACTTGAATTTATCTTCAAGATAATTCATGATGATAAACTTGAGTTTATCTTTGGAGTCGTGATAATCTGTTAACCAGAGTTATCAATATTTTGTAAGTAGTTAGATGTTGATATACTTAAATCTTTCAAATGTAAAGAGATATACTTTAATGTAACTAACTCTTCTATAAATTGATATCAATGAAATAGTGTTTGGTATTCGGTGCCAAACCTTTTTTTTTTTCAACTCATTTTCTTACATGGTATCGGAGCAAATTGGTTAACACCATCTGCAATTTTTTTTTTCTCTCATGGCAGCAACAAGCAATGATGCAGCTACTGTATTTTCTATTCCTAATATGGCTCATCTGGTTTCGGTTAAACTAGATGACAACAATTATTTGATGTGGGTTTGTCAATTTCTTCCTATTCTTAGGACCAATGGGCTCTTGGGTATTGTTGAAGGCACAGAGCCTTGCCCACCAAAATATCTTCAAGATACTGGAGGTAAAACCACTACCACCTTGAACCCAGAATTCATTATCTGGGAGAAAAAGGACCAGTATCTACTAAGTTGGTTCATTGCCACGTTATCAGAGAAAGTTGTCACTAAGTGTACGGTTTGAACACCTCTCGTCAGGTGTGGACTGCATTGGCCAATCGATACGCTTCGCCATCACGATCCCGTATCAATCACTTGTGCTGCCAATTGCAAAATATTCATCAAGGGGCAAAATCATGTTCTGAGTTTATTCATGCTGCAAAGAGCTTGGCTGATCAACTGGCTATTGTTGGAAAGCCAGTAGAAGATGAAGATCTTATCTCTTATATTGTTGGTGGTTTAAGTCCAATATACAACCCATTCGTGACTTCTTTTGCTTTTGCTTCAAGAGAAGGACCACTAACTTTAGAAGAATTTCAATCTGAGTTACTCAGTTTTGAACAAATGCTTGAAAATCAGAATGCTGCAATTCAACCTGATCCTGGTGCATTTGCTCTCTATTCACAAAAGCCAAATAATTTCCATCAGAAGTATAAATCTAGCAACCACACATACTGAAATCCACCAAAGTTTTTCAATCCATTGAGAGGTTCAACTCAAAAGAAGCCTTTCACTTCCATTGCCAGGTCATCACAAGGTAAATATAATGCTAATCAATATGATAATTCTGGTGCTAATCTGTCTTCTTGTCAAATTTGTGGGAAAAATAACCATCAAGCCTTGGATTGCTTTCATCGAATGGATTTCGCATATCAAGGAAGACACCCTCCAAGTGAACTTGCAGCAATGGTAGCATAGTCAAATGTCTTGCGCGAAGAAAATAAGTGGCTCGCAGACAGTGGAGCTAACAACCATATTACAGCAAAATTGGAGAATCTCACTCTACAACAACCATATAAGGGTTCCGAAACTATAGCAGTTGGAAATGGTGGTGGTGGTCTTCACATTGCCAATACTGGTTCATCCTCTTTGTTAACTCATAATTCTACCCTTTATTTGAATAACATTTTACACTGTCCTAATGCCTCTACAAACTTGTTGTCCATACAAAAATTCTGTCAAGACAATAATTGTATCTTTAAATTGACTGACACCTACTTTGTTGTGAAGGACAATCTCACAGGGGCGATCCTCTTGCAAGGGCCGAGTGAAGACGGTCTCTATCTTGTGCGACTGAAGCAGTTTGCCGTGAATAAAGGAGGAGGACCTGTAGCCTTGGTTGGAGTTAAAACCTCTATGTCAATTTGGCATAAATGCTTAGGCCATCCAAACAGTCAAGTTTTACGTAAGATGATCAAAAGCCAGCAGCTACCTGTGTGTCATTTTCGTACCAATTCATCTTTATGTATTACTTGTCAATTGGCTAAGAGCAAAAAATTTCCATTTCAAGAGTCTACACATGTGACTTCGTCTCCTTTAGAAATAATCCACAGTGATATTTGGACGTCGCCAATTTTGTCTATTGGTGGATGTAAATTTTATGCTGTGTTTGTCGATGATTATTCCAGATATTCATGGTTATTCCCATTAAAACAAAAATCTGATTTGTTCAGTTATTTTGTGAAATTTAAGTGCTTGAGTGAAAACTTGTTCTCCTCTAAAATCAAACAATTACAAATTGATGGAGGAGGAGAATATACATTACATCCTTTCACAAAATATCTCTCAGATCATGGGATTTTCCATAGGATTACATGTCCTAGTACATCACAACAAAATGGTATAGCCGAGAGAAAACATTGGCATATCATAGAAACTGGTCTTGTTTTGTTATCTGAGTCTCATCTTCCTTCAAGATACTGGTTAGAAGCATTTCAAACTGCTGTCTATTTAATAAATAGACTAGCAACTCCTATTCTGAAATATGCCACTCCATACAGCAAGATTTTCAAGTTTGAGCCAGAATATGCAACTTTAAAAGTGTTTGGTTGTGCTTGTTATCCTCTATTGCAACCATACACAAAGCACAAATTAGAATACCGAAGTAAGCAATGCATATTCTTGGGTTATATCTCCAATCAAAAAGGCTACAGATGCTTAGATCCGATGACCAACAAAATTTATATATCACAGCATGTTATGTTTGATGAACACCTGTTTCCGGCACAGAATAAGGTCGTTTCATCACCCTCTTCAAGTGGTTCATCCCAAAATGAAGGTATTGCACTTCTACTTCCATCTGATTTTTATTCTATTAATTCACTTTCCAACCATACTTTACTAGACCCCAACACCTCATTACTTGAATCCTCACCTTTGTCACCCAATACTTCGGTCACTCCACATTCTTATCCTACCAATGTGTTCCCCACACACACACCAGACAATTCCATAAATGCACAAGTTATTGTTGCTGAACCCATGATCACACAAAGTCAGTCCAGTGTTCCTTCTGATATCTCTCCTGATTTATCTTCACAAGCTGAGCCCTCTTCCACTCATATCATTACTCGATCTCAAACAAGTAGTCTTAAACCAAGGGATTTTTCAGACTTTCATTTATATTATTCTACTAAGCATCCCTTAAAGGCTCTGCATGCTACTCTATTACCACCCGAGCCTACTAAATTTTCTCAAGCAGTTTCAGACTCAAATTGGCTGGCTGCTATGGAGAGTGAAATCAATGCCTTACTAGAAAATGGTACGTGGTCACTATGTCCTCGGCCAAGAAACAAAAACATCATCAGGAATAAAGTGAGTGTATAAACTAAAGCAGAAGCCAGATGGAAGTATTGATTGGTACAAAGCAAGGCTAGTTGCCAAAGACTTTAAACAAGTGGACGGGGTGGATTACACAGAAACATTTAGTCCTGTGATTAAGCCTGCTACAGTTTGATTGTTATTGTCAATTGCTGTGCACTACAATTGGCCAATCAAGCAACTTGACGTCTCGAATGCATTTTTGCATGGTTACTGGGCGAAGAGGTATTTATGGAGCAACCAAAGGAGTTTGTTGATAAGGATCATCCTAATTATGTTTGCAAATTACGCAAAACACTTTATGGACTTAAACAGGCTCCACGTGCATGGTTTTATAGGCTGACACAAGTGCTACTTGATCTCGGGTTCGCAGGTTCAATGGTGGACACATCCTTGTTTATTTTTCACAAGCATCCAATTCACTTATTTGTTTTAATTTATGTAGATGATATTATAGTGACCGGAACACATCTTTCAAGTATTAATGACCTCATTGCCAATTTGTAGAAAGAGTTTAAAATGAAGGATCTTGACCCATTAACTTATTTTTTTGGGCATTCATGTTATTCGAAATGATCAGAGCTTACATTTGAACCAGTCAAAATATGTTTTGGAGTTACTTGCTCGAGTGAAGATGTTGGGAGCCAAACCTTATGCAGCACCTTGTACATCCAAGAAGAAATTAACAAAATTTGATGGTGACCCTCTATCGGATCCCTCTCTCTATAGAAATATTGTGGGTGCTCTGCAGTACTGTACACTCACCCGGCCTGATATCTCCTTCTCCGTTAATCAACTTTGTTAATTTCTACATTGTCCAACAACAACTCATTTCACCGTAGCAAAAAGAGTAATTCGGTATCTTAAAGGGACTGTAGACTATGACTTATTTTTCACTCATGGGCCACTAGAACTAAATGTCTATTGTGACTCTGATTGGGCAGGAGACCCAACTGACAGACGATCCACTAGTGGCTATGGGGTGTTTCTTGGGCATTGTTTGATTTATTGGCAGGCAAAGAAACAACTTGTAGTGTTGAGATCAAGCACGGAAGCTGAGTATCGGTCCATGGCAATTGCTACTGCTGAACTCTACTAGTTGCGAATGCTCTTTCAAGAATTGCAAGTTCCATTTGCTTATGCACCACATTTATGGTGTGATAACATGGGAGCTCTAGCCTTAGCTTCTAATCCAATTTTTCATGCCAGGACCAAGCACATAGAAGTTGACTACCATTTTATCAAAGAGAAGATATTGAAAAAGGATCTTGTTCCTCGATATGTATCTACCACTGATGAGTGTGTTGATATTTTTACAAAAAGATTGACTTCATCTCGGTTCCCATTTTTGCAAGACAAACTCATGATTGTTGCACCTCCCATGAGCTAGAAGGGGACTGTTAGTGTACCTCAAAAAAATGAAAATGATCAACTTCAGGATAATTCAAACTTGGATTTACCTTCAAGATAATTCATGATGATAAACTTGAGTTTATCTTTAGAGTCATGTCATAATAATATGTTAACCAGAGTTATTAATATTTTATAAATAGCTAGATATTGATATATTTAAATCTTTCAAATATAAAGAGATATACTCTAATGTAATTAACTCTTCTATAAATTGATATCAATGAAATAATGTTTGGTATTCGGTGCCAAACCTTTTTTTTTTCAACTTATTTTCTTACAAATTGTTCTATGTATAATTTATCAAACCAACCACAAAACAATCTCTCAAAAAAAGTAAACCAAAAGAAAAAATAATTAAAAAAAGTAACATCCAAATTCCAATTGCCATCCATCTCCCTATCTCATGTGGATGATCCATCACTTTCGCCGGCGGCACCATCCTCGGAATTACTAAAAACAACCCGAATATCTCCCCCAAATCTCCAATCTTCATCATCCACACCACCACCACCTAACTTCTTACTCTCCTCCGAATTCTCCACAGGCATCTTATACCTACAAAGCGGGCAAGACCCATGGATCCCCAACCACTTACCAATACAATCCGAATGGTACCTATGCCTACAAGGCATTTCCTTAACCTCCTCACAAATTTCATACTCACACAAACAAATCGCACACTCGGCCCCTTGTTCTGTTACTTTCACCATGGGCATCGCCTCAATCGACGCCTTTGACGCCGGTAAAGACCCATCTTTGTTTCCGAAATCACGAAACACTGATTCCAACAACTCTCCATAGCCATCAATCATCATAATCGGGTCCATAAAAGCGTTTCTGAACCCGTTTGTGAATATAATACTTTCTTGGTCGATCCGGTCCTGATCTGCTGGTGGTGGTGGTTGTTGTTGTTGTTGGTGGTGGTCTTGTGACGGAGCGGCAGTGGCGAAGCCTATAATCCAAGGGACGAGTATGACTCGTGTTCTGAGCTGTTCTTGAGAGGTAGGCGATGATGACTCGGAAGACATCTCTGGTTGTGACGGAGCGGAAGACATAGCTTCTAGACAATATTCGATTTTAGAGAACAAAACGAAGAAAAAAAATTAAAATTTCAGAATGACTGTAATCGATCAATGAGGAGGGTTGATGGAGTCAGAAGGGAGATAAGTACATACAGCGAAGGGAAGGGAAGACCGGTTGGAAAGTTGTAGAATAATCTAGAATTGTCTAGTTAATCCCTTGCGAGCAAGGTTCTTTACTGTATTATAGAATGTTCACGTGGGCTTCGACTTATGTTTTTTTCTGAAGCGGTGATAGAATTCTTGGATCACTTGAGGGCCCAACCCAGCTTCGAAAGTAATACTTAATTATGGGATTTTTTAAAAGAATATTTATTAGAGTGGTCAATGTGTAAATACCGAAGTACATAGGTTTAGTGTTACAACATCTGTTTTGATTTATTAAAAAATTAGAGGTAATTCGGTGCAATGTGAATGATTTTGAGAGGAATGTTGGCGGTCATTGAATAAATGTATTTGAGATCATCAGATAAATTTTTAAAACTTATCTTATTTTATATTATAAAATTAGATAACACGATAAAACATGATTTGATTATACCGCTATCAGTGTATAGTGTAAGTTTTTGTTTACATCATAGAATTATAAGGTATGTCTGAGAGAAGAAGCACCTTGTTACAGATTGAAGTATTTAAACATAAATTAAAATTATTTAAATTTGAATTAGGAAAGAGAGGTTTTGAGAAGACTATTATCCTCAAATACTTAATTACTAGAATTTTAAAATATTTAATTAGTTTCACCCAATCATATTATTCTATGTGTCTTATGTAACAATTCTCACCACTTTTTAAAATTATTTCAAATTTTTTAAAAATTTAGGAGTAGGGTGAAGATGGATAGAGATTATATATTTAGTTTATTGCACGGCATGGATAATAGTTAAAAACTATGAAAATACAATACTTGTGATAATATTACTCATTTAAAGAGGTAAATAAAATAAAAATAAATTTGTGTTAAGGAAGATTATAATATTTAAGTTCACAAAGTTGAATCATTTCCCGGTCCACCTGAACCGGAATGGTGGCAATAAACCGGTCTAGCCGACCTTGTCATTTGTCTGCCCCAAATATTAGTACCAATGACAGCGTCTCTGTCTGCCTGTCTGTCTGTCTGTCTCCGTCCCTCCGTCCCTCCCTTCCTCTCCTTTGGGCTAAATTGCGTAAAATACACTCGATACATTCCAACCAAAAGAAAGAAAAGAGCGAAACATACAGAAACAGGAGTGAGCTAACAAGTGTCATTGGGCTTTGGTTCAAGGGTTTCGTCTTCACGAACCCGAAAAACCGATAGGCTCTTTGTCTTATCGTTACGCCCTAGCTGGTTCGGTAGAGCTCCGATTTTCCGTACAGTTATGGACTCCTCCGGTTTGAATAGCTTCGACATCTTTCAGATTTACAGGCGATATTGCGGTACCCTTATCAATCATCTCGGTTTTTTGTCCTCTATATATATATATATATATATGTATGTATCTTAAAATTTCGTTGGTGATTTTCTTTTTCTTGTTTTTCTTGAATTTTCTTTTCCTTAACGAATGCTATGTTGTCCATGGATTTAAAATTTTGATTTGAGGATATAAATTAGCTCAGCAACTTATGAGCTTATTTACGTTAATCGATAGGTGATGATTATTGAAGATGCTATATTTGAATTGAAAGATTTACTGGTTAAGTTCTTGAGTTTATTTAAAATATTTGAAACGGCTTTTAGTTAACCTTTCTCCACATTCGCATGTGATAGGTAGCTTGTAAGGCTTTGATCTTGATAGCACTACATATAATGTGTGTGTGCACCACCGCCCCCCCCTCCCCAAAAAAAAAATAAAAAAATTTAATAAATCGCAATTGGTTTTTTTTTTTTTTTTCTGTTCGCTTGTGTTTTTTTGATGGGGTTGGTGTTGGAGTATTTGTTACAAGATTTGGTGTTTTGGTCATTTAGTGCAGAAAAAGGTTCATATTGGCTATTCAGAAAGGATCAGTGATTCTGCCATTAAGGGCTTGACATTGGGTTTTGAAAGCATGCCTTTAGAACTGAATAAATGGTGAAGAAGAATGTTGGTTATTGGATGAGCAAAAGCTCTGTGCTTATACTTTTGTATTGCTACAAACAATGGTTGCTAGACAGAATTGAATAGAGAGAGAGGCATTTATAGTAGATCCGAAAATAAATGTGATGTGAGTCTTTGTCAAAATAAATTTTTAGATTGGTCAAGAAGGTAGGGAAAAATCAAGAGATATACCATACAATAAAAATTTGATTAACATCTGCGTGTTTGTATTGTACTTATGTGATGACCAATGTCCAGACAAATTTATTTTGCTTTATTATTAGTGTATTTTTTGGGTATGAACGCCTAAACCACTTGATGTTCTCTGATATAGAAAAATTTTTCCAGGGGAGAATTAACTGTTGGAAAACTTTCTTTATGATGCGTGATTCATAGTTCTAGGCATCCTCAGGCATGAGGAAGCTCCTAATTCGTTGAAGACACAATTTTTTTCTGGCAGAAATAACATCAGGGGGTTATGCTGGTGGAAATGAAGGTTACAGGCCAGATGATGAGTCACAGAAGGCTCAATTCTCGAGGGAGGCACTGTCTCAACTCTTAAAATTGGTGGAATCAAGGGTGCATACGAGGTAGGTATTGACAATATCATAAAACCTTGCCAGTGGTCTATCCCAGTTTTAAGACTAGGAGTTGTATGTGGTCTTACAGACTTCTGTCTCAAATGAGGTTTGTAGTTCTGATTCTGGTACTTGGCCAAATTGTGAGCTGGCTGGCATGGGTTAGCTACAGCTGGTACATGAGACTGTTTGTTTGAGGTGCTCTGTTAGGTTTGTGATTTTGCAAGTATAGGATACCGTGTGATACTTTGCATAATAGGTAACCCTCCTGAAACAAAGAGCAAAAATAACAAAATGGGGTGTATAGATATCCTAGTACACCAATTTTATTCTTGTTGAAACCTCTGTAAACTTCTTAGTGATTGAGAAGTATTTACATTAAAATTCAACACTACAAGGGTTGAACTTCTTGTTTTCCAGATAGTTTCCTTTGGATATCTAGTAATGGTTTTAAATTCATAAGGGCATATGTTCCTCGAATTTTTTTTTTAAAAAAACCCAGACCCTGGGTGGGACATGTTCGTGGTAATGCATGTAGCAAGCTGGAAAGGATCAAGTTAAGGCAGGTCTAGCGGTGGCCACAACCAAACCCATCAAGACCTTGAGTTGGTTCAAAGGGCAATCCAGGACCTGATATATGCAAATGAAGAGTTTATTTAATTTCACCAAGTCTTTTGATTGTCTTCTGGTCTTAATACACTTGGATTACTTCTGATCTACTCACAGTGTTTAAATGCTACATCGTATATACGTATTACTGATTTCTTGCTTTGACTGTGATCTTCTTAGGTTAGTCTTTTAGTGTAATGTCTTGGTTTTTCATTTCATTCATGCAGCTAAATCTGAAGAGTTTATGGTATCAAATTATCAGTTAATCAATTCTAACAAGTTTCAGATGTTCTGAGGTTCATGAAATTATGTTATCACCTATGGCAGGATGTGTATTTTTGATGATGTTTTCAAGCTAATGTCGAGGCTAGATTTGATGGTGAGATACTATTTTTCTTGCTTTTCTTGTTAAACTGGTTTTCCATTATGTGCTGTAAATTTATCTTATCATCCAATAAGCATTGATGGTTTGAATTGAAGTGGATCAACCTCAAGCTGCTTCTTCTTTGTCGTATATGCCCTTAGATAACGACCATGAGTTGTGAGCTTGAGTGAGATCTCTTGCCATCCTAAAGTAAAGGTGCAAGCTGAAGTCTTGGTTCGGACACCGTTGCATTTGTATGATATAAAAAATATTGTCCTTAAGTTTTTTTTTCCCCTGATCATAGCCCTAAGGCCAAAGAATTTCATTAATTTTCTTGATTTATAGCTTGAAGATTTTACATGGCCTTTTTTTTGTAGGTAGACTTTTCCGAGTTCTCGCGTTTCTATGATTTTGTTTTCTTCATTTGCCGTGAAAACAATCAGAAGAGCATCAGTAAGTCAATTATATTAGTAGAATGATATCATGACTTTGCAATGTCATCTTACAAGCCCTCTACAATTGTGCATTACAGGTTCTTGACATAATTTTCCTCATCCTTCTTATTGTATAATTTCAGCTGTAAGCATGGCAGTTACATCTTGGAGATTAATATTAGCAGGAAGGTTTCGACTGCTTAACCAATGGTGCGATTTTGTTGAGGTATTAGATATAACTTTTCATGAAGAAGAGTGTTAAAATTATTGTGTTCCTCTACTTAGGTCTTATTACTTCTATAGTATGTTAGTATAAAGCCATATTTTACAGTTCACATCCATTACAAATTCCAAATAGGTCTTTTGGATGGTGGGGTAGCATATCTGCAGTGAAGCCGGCCATCATTGTTTTCAAATAGTTGTGCATGTGGTTCCTTTTTTCAGATAGGGATTAGATACCTCACATTCTTTGTCATCTTCATGTATGGCTAAAACCGCCTATAATCACAGATGTGAGATATTAGGCATCAGTCGTAATTTTAGTATATGAGGGATGTAATTTTGGTAGTAAAAAAGGCCATACCCAATGCACATGACTCATGCTTATTGTGGGATCTGGGATAGCTAAGTGGGGCAATCTGATTCTTATTTGGATAAGACTGCTACTCGTGTTCAAACACTGGGCACCTCGCCAGATCCGATCCGTGGTTGGCCAAGAAAAATTTGATGCTTCTTTAGCATATTATTGTTTGAGTTTTTCTATTACAAATAGGTCAAAGAGAGATTTTCTGAAATGTCATGGGTGTAGTTGACTGAAATATTGTGGTGGCCTGATAGATTTGAATATTACTCAATATCTGTGGTGCTTCATTTCATAAATTTTTTGTAACAAGATACTTGTACTGTTACACAAATTGTCCTAGACAAAGATGTTATAGCACTGTGGTAAGATAGCTGGAATGGTGTCCAATTTGATGTACTAGTTGATTTCTTAAGATGGCAAATATTAGAATTTATTCTTTTCAAGAACCTTGAATGTTGTACATAGAAATAATCTAGACTGTTCCTCTAAATGGTATGCCAACTTTTCTTTCCATTCAGAA